TAGATGTATCATATAAAATTGTCTATACAATATCAAAATACTAATAAAATGCTATAAAAAAATAGCTTCCATCATTCCTAGGGGTTATTATCTACCATGTAATAATTTATATTATAAAAACCCTTTTTATAAAAACGTTTATAGAAAAATTACTTTGTAGTAGAGAGACCATCACAGAGTACATTATATAAAGACCATGTATATTAATTACGAAGGTACAACCCTGGCACAGAAGATTTACCGATGCGTTATGACGTCACCCGTCGATCGTATCGTTGCTAGTGGTAATGAGCACACAAGCGCGGGATGTGGTCAGCTGAAGTGGGAGGGGTGATCATTCATCAGTACACCTGCGTGCGGCGGCAATAGATTGGTTCGGCAGGGAAAAATCTTCGTTCTTTTTTTTAAATTTTCCTCACACTAAGATCTCCTGTATCGTAGGGGCAGTTTACATACATACATTTCGATGCGATACAAATTTATATGCGAGACTCAAACCCGTGGCCCTTGGCGCTGTAACTTATTGTTAAGCCACTGCACCAAGGAGCCAACGCTCTTACAGAATACCAGCGTAAAATACCAGAAAATCATTACAAAATAAAAATAGTTGTATTTCTAAACGTGACGTGGCGGTGTAAGAACGCCTACTACCCCACATCGTCCCGTGGGTGTCGTGAGAGGCGACAGAAGGAAACTAAAACAGGAGATGAGCAGCAGCGTCTTCCTGATAACAGCTTAGTAAAAGTAAATAACTGAAGTTACCAATACGCCTGCTAAGCGAGGAAACTATAGCAAAATCTCCCCTATGAGGCAATCTATGGGGGAGACCAATGTTCAGCAGTGGACTTTTATGGGCTGTAATAGATAGATAGATAGTTCTCTTTCGTATGGTAAGTGACGAGTACCAAACAAACAATGATTATGTCCACATATGGGTGGTAGCGAGAAACCGTCGCGGACCAAAACTGGCAGGGTGAGGGCTCGTTTGGATAATGGAGGGCCTTTTAGTTGCTTCCCGTATCCTTTCCGTTGAGAGGAACAGAGAATGTGCCATGCGCGGTGAGGTGCCAGGTGCACTCGGCTTTTGCCGACGCCGGGCAACCCGTAATCGCGGGATTTTCAGGGACCACACCCTATAAAAAAAAGCAAAATGAATAGGCTCAGTGTTCTCTCACCTGGTCTCTGAGCAGGCATGGGAAGAACCCGTATCGACTCTGCCACCGTTCGAACCTCGGAATCCCTCTGGTGTGTCGTGGATCACGTCTCGCGGCGCCTAAGCGGCCGAGGGCTCTTGGCTTAACCGCCTGGAGTCGCGAGGATGATAACCTCTTTAAAAATTCACCCGAAGCTCAAGCGTGGTACGCCGAGAGGAGCTGCATGGCTGATGGGTAAATCTTCAGTCGTTAGCTTTGCCCCCGTCGGGGTACCGGCCGACACCCTTGACGGGTTACGCATAGGCTTATCCGAGCAAAGGAGGCGCTGCTCGGATGGACTGTTATTTCCTCCACACTCGTGGGATGAAAATGGAAAAAGATAAATATTTAAAAACAAAAAAAACTGTAGAGATCGAAAATCAGGCTGGATTAGATACTGGACGCGGTGGAAAGGGGTCGCGTGGGATGTCTTCCGCTAGGAAACGTCCAGTGTGCCGATCTTCAGAAGAGGAAGGCCTACCGGCCCCCAAGTTGCTGACTTCAGGGAGGGATCGGCAGGCATCGAGAGGGGCGAGTGCTTCGCAGCCGCGGAGGGATAAGCACGGACGGTTGGTGTGCTCCAATACCTCGGCGGCTAGTGAAGCAGAAAGTGACATGGGGTTCACTACGGAGGACACTGGCGATAGCGGTGAAAGCTGTGCCTCGCTGGGGAGCTCAAAGACGGAGCTCAACGCCGCCAAGAGGGAGCAGCGTAAAGCCGTCGCGGCCGACGAAGTATCGGAAATGGCCCGACGCGCTCGCGAGCGACGAGCTGCTCTTGCGGCGGAAGGGGGAGAGCCATCTGCGGTGGCCTTGAGCCAGCTGGCTTTGGATGGGGTGGACTTAGTCCTGAAGGTTGCCACCAAGTCTGGCAGCCTGAAGGGCACGTTCACCCGTGGCTTAAAGGAAGCTGCCGCGGATATTAGGGAGGCGGTTGGCATCCTCCTCAACAGGACGGCCTCTGACGAGGGCGCAAAGTTACAGGAGGAAAACAGTCGCCTCAGAAATAACTTGGGTCCTCCAAGTCATTTCTGAGGCGACTGTTGACTGTCCGGCGGCAAGTCGCTGCGCTGAGCGAAGAGCAGCAGTGACGCACGTCCACCGATGCCGCACCTGTGGCTCCGACTCCCACACCTCAACCGTCAAGCCCTCGTACCGACGAAGAAGTCGAGCGCATTGTCCGGATCTGCATGAGCATGGTTAACGCTCAGCTGGAGGCGATTTCACGGCGTCTCCCGGCGGAAATCTTCCGTCCGCCTTTGGTGGCGGACACACGGAGAATTGAGGAGCCGCTGAGACTTGCGCCTCAAAACGGGAAGCCCGCGGAGGGTAACAAAAAGCCCGCGGAGGGAGCTCCTTCGAGCGAGCAGCCCACGACTGTCCGGTCTAAGGGTGAGACCTGGGCAAAAGTCGTGGGCCGCAAAAAGGCCCGCAAAGCCGCCAAGAAGGCCGCAACAGCTGCATGCGCCCCAGGTGGAACCGCAAAGACGGCTCCTCAACCTGCGCGGCGGACTGCCAAAGGCGGTCGCGAGAGACCGGCTGTGCATGTTCCTCGGTCCAATGCCGTGACGCTTACGTTGCAGCCGGAGCTGTGGAGCGTGGCGTGACGTACCAGTCGGTCATCGCTGAGGCCAAGGCCAAGATCAAATTATCAGATCTTGGCCTTCAGTCCGTCACCTCGCATGCAGGCTGCCACTGGTGCATGGCTGTTCGAGGTGGCTGGTACTGTGAGCGGCAGTGCCGAAAAGGCGGCCGCACTGGCCGCCAAGATGAGGGAGGTCCTCAACCCTGAGGACGTCCGGGTCTCCAGACCAATGAAAACCGCAGAGGTGCGGATTGCTGGCCTGGACGACTCCGTGACCTCTGAGGAGGTGGTGGCGGCCGTTGCCAGAAGCGGAGAGTGTCCGCCGGACAAGGTTGCTGGTAGCTTGTCAAGGCTGGCGATATTCGCACCGACGCCACCGGACTCGGTGGGGTCTGGGTTCGGTACCCTGTGGCGTCGGCGAAGAAGATCGCTGATAGCATCAGATTGCTGGTAGGCTGGGTGGCGGAAGGACAAAGCTTCTACAGCCCCGGGCTTTGCTGTGCTTCCGGTGCTCGGAAAAAGGGCACGTTCGGGCGAAGTGCACCGCCGAGGTTGACCGTAGTGACCTCTGTTATCGCTGCGGCCAGCCTGGCCACAAGGCGGCCCTGTGCACCACGGCGTTCAATTGCAGCCTTTGTTCTACTGCGGGAAGGCCTGCAGAGCACAGAGTAGACGGAGGGGCCTGTGGGGCACCTGACAGCAAGGCCAAAAAGAAAAAGGAAAAGAAGAGGAGCACTAAGCCTGCCGGGTTAACCTCGCAGCCCCCGCAGGCTAGCAGCTCCTTGGCCGACTCCCGGCCCAGGACCGTTGCCGAGGGGATGGAATGTCAATAATGGCACAATTCCATTCTCTCCATTTTTTCCAGGGCAACATCAACCACTGTGCCAGAGCTCAGGATCTCCTACTCCAGAGCATGGCAGAGTGGTCGATTCACGTGGCTGTGGTCGCTGAACCGTACTTCATTCCCGCCCGTGACAACTGGCTGGGATGCGCTGACGGTTTGGTGGCCATTATTGGCGAGACTCTGATCAACCCGTCTCGGAGCCGCAGCTGGGTTGCTGCGATCTCGGGCGGCATCGTTATTGTAGGGGTGTATTTCTCCCCCAACAAGAGTCTCGCCGACTTTGAGGGTTTCCTTGTTGAGTTGGGCGCCGTCGTAGGCCGCTATTACCCTCGTCCCGTTCTGGTGCTCGGGGATCTCAACGCCAAGTCATCGGCGTGGGGATCTCCGGTCACTGACCCTTGAGTCGAGGTGCTAGAAGAGTGGACGGTGACCACTGGTCTGGTCATTCTGAATTTCGGAATACACGTGCGTGCGGCAGCGGGGTGGGTCGATAGTGGACGTCTCGTTTGCTAGCCCCTCTGTCACCAGTCGAGTCCGCGACTGGCATATCGCCGCAGAGGTGGAGACGCTGTCGAATCATCGGTATATCCGGTTCGACGTCTCTGCCCAGACTGCGAGCGGCCGCCATCCAACAACCCCGATTAACGATGGCCCGCGTTGGGCGCTTAAGCGCATCGACAGGGAACTGCTCGAGGAAGCTGCCTTAGTCCAGTCCTGAATCTGGGAGTCAACGACGAACGGCCCCATCGACGTCGAAGCAGTGGCGCTATGGTTTCGCGGGGCGATGACGCAGATCTGCGACGCGTCCATGCCCCGTGTCCGCCAACGGTCCGCAAGGCGCCAGGTGTACTGGTGGACCGCCGAGATTGCGCAATTGCGCATAGCGTGCTTTGCGGCTCGTCGCCGGTACACCCGATACCGGAGGCGGCGTCGACCGTACCGCGCATCTAAGGAGACTCTGTGGCTGGCCATCGGCGACTCAAAGTCGCGTGCCAGGGAGGAGCTACTGGGGTCCCTAGATCGAGATCCGTGGGGGCGCCCCTACCGTTGGGTACGGGGCAAGTTACGTCCCTGGGCGCCTCCACTAACACAAAGCATGCAACCCCAGTTGCTAGAGGCGGTGGTATCGGCTCTCTTCCCTGAGCGAGTGGGACACGTTCCCCCGTCGATGGCTTCGCCCTCAGCCACAGACTCTTAAGAATAGAAGAGTACCGATGTCCCCGAGGTGACGCAAACAGAGATAAGAGCGGCCGTGTCGCGACTTCGGGCTAAGAACACAGTGAACGGACCCGACGTAGTTCCTGGTCGAGCTCTCGTCCTGGCTCTGGAGGAGCTAGAGCCCCAGCTGAGGGGGCTCTTCACGGCACGGCATGTGTTCATGGCATTCGAGCAGGGTCAGTTTCGCAGTGTGTGGAAGGAGGGGAGGCTGGTCCTGCTCAGGAAGGAGGGGCGCCCCGCGGACTCAACGTCCGCGTACCGGCCCATAGTGCTGCTTGACGAGGCGGGCAAACTTCTTGAGCGTATCATCGCAGATCGCCTCGTCAGCCACTTGTGCAGAGAGGGGCCGGACCTGGACGAGAACCAGTTTAGTTTTCGTCGCGAGCGCTCCACCATAGACGCTATTACGCGCGTGAGAGTCCTGGTGGAGGAGACAATATCCCGGGATGTGGTGGTGCTGGCGGTGTCTTTAGACATCTCCAACGCCTTCAACACCCTACCCTGGAGTTGTATTCGGGAAGCACTGAATTACCATCGCTTGCCTCCCTACCTCCGCCGCATAATAGGGGCTTACCTTGAGGAGAGATGTGTTACGTATTGGGGACGTGACGGCGCTGGTAGGCGCGTCATGTCGTGCGGTGTTCCGCAGGGATCGGTCTTGGGACCACTCCTGTGGAACATCGGCTACGACTGGGTGCTGAGAGGTGACTCCAGTCGGGCGCCGAATTGACGTGTTATGCGGACGACACGCTCGTCACTGCCCGGGAAGCTCACACAGGGAAGCAGCGTTGGTTGCCACGGCTGCGGTGTCACAATTGGTGAACCGCATCCGGCGCCTGGGCCTGGAGGTGGCCCTAAGCAAGTCGGAGGCCATGGTGTTTCATGTCCCTCGATACGCGCCGCCGCCAGGTTCACACATCGTGGTCAGCGGGGCCCGGATAGCTGTCGAGTCCACCATGAAGTATCTGGGATTGGTGCTCGACAGCCGATGGGAATTCGGACCCCACTTCCGGCGGCTGGCGCCTAAACTGATGGGTGCAGCGGGCGCGCTTTCAACGTTGCCTCCCTACTTGGGGGCTCGAGCGCCGTCTGTAGGTGGTTGTACGTGGGAATCGTGCGGTCCATGGCCCTGTATGAGGCCCCTGTGTGGGCGATGGACATGACGGCTAACACTCTCGCCATTCTGGAAAATCGCAAAGGGCATGGCCGTCAGAGTCGTCCGCGGGTATCGCACGATTTCCTACGAGGCGGCTTGCGTCCTGGCCGGATCCCCGCCCTGGGACCTAGAGGCGAAAGTACTCGCGTCATTATATCGATGGCGCGAGGAAGAGCGGGCATGGGGCTCGAGGTCGGTGCAGCGGCAGATCGCGCTGCGCCGAGAGGAGCTCCGTCAGGTCTTGGTGGCGGAATGGCGGCAAAGGCTTCTGCGCCCAACCGCCGGCCTCGCACCACCATCGAGGCGATTCGGCCAGTACTCGAGGACTGGCTCGGGAGAAGGCACGGCTCCCTGTCGTTTAGGATGACGCAGGTGCTGTCGGGGCACGGCTGCTTCGGCAAGTACCTGTACCGCATAGACAGGGAGCCGGACGCTCAGTGCCACCACTGCGTCCATTGCGGGGAGGACACGGCGCAATACACGCTCGCCGACTGTGTAGCTTGGGAAGAGCAGCGCCGTGTCCTCACAAATGAAGTAGGAGGCGATCTGTCGCAGCCGGCCTTAGTGCGGAGGATGGTTGGTAGCGCAGGGTCGTGGGACGCAGTGGTGTCCTGAGCGGTGGTGTGCGGAACGGGATAGGGAGATCTAGACTCCCTTCCCCGGCCGAAGAAGGCGCACCGGGTGCAGGAGAAGGGCGGACAACATATTGAGGAAGTTAGCCGTAAAATTTATACTACTTTGAGACAATTGTACCGATTTAAAACATATTACTGCGTTGTACGAAGAAACTTCTAATTCTATCCCTTATTCCTCCCATGTTTAATTATGCCGATGTGTGTTACTTAGATGCCGACAATTACTTGGTCAATAAATTGGATTTTGCAATTAGTTATTAAAAGCAATAAGCGTTTCTTCGGAAGTTATCACAACGTTCGGTACTGTCCAGGAGAACGCATGTAAATATGACTAGTACTCATTTTAAAAGAGAAATCATTACTTACGTATCTGAAACTCTGAGCTTACTTACACAAATAACTTAGTCTTTAGTCTACTGACTAAGTTATTTGTTTACCGTTTGAGTGCGATACAGGCGTAAGCTCTCAAGGATTTACTTCAGTCAATCTGAGTAGACAGCATTGCCCGGGTTACGGGTCTGTCGTGGGAAGAATCCGTTCTGGCGTCAGAGGGATTAAAGTTGATCTTTTGTTAACGACGGAGGTTGTATACCCTTAAGCGTGTCTATTGTTTAATGCTTTGGACACTACTTCAAAGGTATTTGATTTCTCGTCTTTTAATATTGTTAGCATTATCTTGTAATGCGGAGGAAGAACTCAAGGGTTTTATCTTTCACGAGAGACGATGCTTGAAAGTATAAAAAAGAACATGGCAATAAATGTATATACATTATATATTTTATTGATGGATTGAAAAATTAAATAAAAATTTATAGGTGATAATGGCCGATTTACACTTTGACAAGTACAGTAGCGAGTTTAGTTATAGAACAGTTGACAGTAAACGGTTAAGTGGGCAGTAGCGTTCAAATGTCTTCGTGGCGTGTTTAGTTAAAAAAGTATAATTTTATATTATGAGGATCGAATGCGAACACGTTGCGTCCTGTCAACTTATGCACTGAACTAAACTCGCTCGTTCACACGAGCGGCGAGTTTAGTTGCGGGTGGCAGGAGACTAGCGGGAGGGAACCACTTCGAACTTAACTCGCCGAAAAATAGATTGGCCGGCTATCCCGTACAACTTAATTGTTAATTTGTTACTTAACTCACTAATAATCACTAGCAATAGCCCTTCAGACGAGATTTTTACTTGACTCGCCAGGTTTGCAAGTTAACTCGCTACTGCACTTGTCAAGTGTAAGTCGGGCTTAACATGTAGTGGCGGTGTAAAAATATCCACTGCTGAATATCGACTCGTGAGCGACGGAAGGATTTCAGAGAAAAATTAACAAGGAGATGGGCAGCAGCATCTTCTTAATAACAACTAAAAAATAAAAAATAAACTACGGTTGCTAACCGTTTTGTTACCGGTTGTAAGCCGGCAACGGGCAGCGTTAAAGGTAAGAGACGTTGGTTTTCGTAAGTCCGCCTGCCAAGCGTGCCAATTAACGATTATCCTCTTTACAACGGAGGCCCATGTCAAGTAGTAGACATTTATGGGCTAGTAATGAAGAAGAAGCGGCATGAATATGGCAGGTTCGTGGTTAATTTTAGCCTCGCATCTGTCGAAGGCAAAAAGATATCGTTTTTGGACTGGTTTGCTTCGATGTGTAATTATGTAAATAACACCTGATACATTTTTCATCAAAATCGGTCCATCAGTTATTTTTATGAGTAAATTGTCTTAACACTTTCACAGTCCGGTTTTCAGACACAATAGCAATGACCTATATATATATATATATAGTGCACGGGACAGCGAAAGGGTTAAGACAGTAAACATATAAAAATTTACTTACATTTAAAATATTCTAGGTTAATGATAGTGAAAAGAGTGCTGAGAATTCTATGGTTCCTGCGTTGTGGGATATTTAACCATTTAAGTTAATAGCTATAGAAAGAGATGTGATCATACTTTCGAAGACCGTAAAGGAAACGGATACAGTTGTTGAGAAGTTGATCCAATTTATTGACCAAGTAATTGTCGGCATCTAAGTAACACACATCGGCATAATTAAACATGGGAGGAATAAGGGATAGAATTAGAAGTTTCTTCGTACAACGCAGTAATATGTTTTAAATTGGTACAATTGTCTCAAAGTAGTATAAATTTTACGGCTAACTTCCTCAATATGTTGTCCGCCCTTCTCCTGCACCCGGTGCGCCTTCTTCGGCCGGGGAAGGGAGTCTAGATCTCCCTATCCCGTTCCGCACACCACCGCTCAGGACACCACTGCGTCCCACGACCCTGCGCTACCAACCATCCTCCGCACTAAGGCCGGCTGCGACAGATCGCCTCCTACTTCATTTGTGAGGACACGGCGCTGCTCTTCCCAAGCTACACAGTCGGCGAGCGTGTATTGCGCCGTGTCCTCCCCGCAATGGACGCAGTGGTGGCACTGAGCGTCCGGCTCCCTGTCTATGCGGTACAGGTACTTGCCGAAGCAGCCGTGCCCCGACAGCACCTGCGTCATCCTAAACGACAGGGAGCCGTGCCTTCTCCCGAGCCAGTCCTCGAGTACTGGCCGAATCGCCTCGATGGTGGTGCGAGGCCGGCGGTTGGGCGCAGAAGCCTTTGCCGCCATTCCGCCACCAAGACCTGACGGAGCTCCTCTCGGCGCAGCGCGATCTGCCGCTGCACCGACCTCGAGCCCCATGCCCGCTCTTCCTCGCGCCATCGATATAATGACGCGAGTACTTTCGCCTCTAGGTCCCAGGGCGGGGATCCGGCCAGGACGCAAGCCGCCTCGTAGGAAATCGTGCGATACCCGCGGACGACTCTGACGGCCATGCCCTTTGCGATTTTCCAGAATGGCGAGAGTGTTAGCCGTCATGTCCATCGCCCACACAGGGGCCTCATACAGGGCCATGGACCGCACGATTCCCACGTACAACCACCTACAGACGGCGCTCGAGCCCCCAAGTAGGGAGGCAACGTTGAAAGCGCGCCCGCTGCACCCATCAGTTTAGGCGCCAGCCGCCGGAAGTGGGGTCCGAATTCCCATCGGCTGTCGAGCACCAATCCCAGATACTTCATGGTGGACTCGACAGCTATCCGGGCCCCGCTGACCACGATGTGTGAACCTGGCGGCGGCGCGTATCGAGGGACATGAAACACCATGGCCTCCGACTTGCTTAGGGCCACCTCCAGGCCCAGGCGCCGGATGCGGTTCACCAATTGTGACACCGCAGCCGTGGCAACCAACGCTGCTTCCCTGTGTGAGCTTCCCGGGCAGTGACGAGCGTGTCGTCCGCATAACACGTCAATTCGGCGCCCGACTGGAGTCACCTCTCAGCACCCAGTCGTAGCCGATGTTCCACAGGAGTGGTCCCAAGACCGATCCCTGCGGAACACCGCACGACATGACGCGCCTACCAGCGCCGTCACGTCCCCAATACGTAACACATCTCTCCTCAAGGTAAGCCCCTATTATGCGGCGGAGGTAGGGAGGCAAGCGATGGTAATTCAGTGCTTCCCGAATACAACTCCAGGGTAGGGTGTTGAAGGCGTTGGAGATGTCTAAAGACACCGCCAGCACCACCACATCCCGGGATATTGTCTCCTCCACCAGGACTCTCACGCGCGTAATAGCGTCTATGGTGGAGCGCTCGCGACGAAAACTAAACTGGTTCTCGTCCAGGTCCGGCCCCTCTCTGCACAAGTGGCTGACGAGGCGATCTGCGATGATACGCTCAAGAAGTTTGCCCGCCTCGTCAAGCAGCACTATGGGCCGGTACGCGGACGTTGAGTCCGCGGGGCGCCCCTCCTTCCTGAGCAGGACCAGCCTCCCCTCCTTCCACACACTGGGAAACTGACCCTGCTCGAATGCCTTGAACACATGCCGTGCCGTGAAGAGCCCCCTCAGCTGGGGCTCTAGCTCCTTCAGAGCCAGGACGAGA